GCGATTTGTAAGTTTGCTGCCAACGAGAGAGATCGATCATGAGATCGATGTTGTTTATACTCCTTGTGATATTTGTCCGGATTCGAGGACGAATCCTTTTAAAGAGGGGGAGAATGATACGATCCAGAGATGCTCCATGACAAAGAGTTGGAAGACGCGAAAGCGTACGAGTTTAAAGACATTATTCGAGCTGTCCATGGAGAGTAAAGGGCTGAATAAGACTATTGAAGAGTCCGTGGCTTGGAATTGGAAGAAAAGAAAGAGAAGAAGTCGTTGGACAAGTCGAATTCCATGCATCCGAGATTCTCGCCTATTCTGGCAGAGTTTACCATTCGGGTTATAACTCTCGCTTCCGAAGTCCGATTTAGATGATTCAAAATGATTCGGAAAGCTAACTGAAAGAACTACAACTTTCATGTTTTGAGCAAAGAGATATTCGAAGTGGAACAGTGTCGAAATTGAGCTTTAATTGCATGCACGTGCACAGCCCAATGTCGCGAGATTAGAAGGGTGATCGAGAAGCCGACTTGAAGATCAAGTTATTTAGTTTAATTATTCACGTTTTTAATTTAGGTTTTATTACGTTTTTATTATTTGAGAGTCTTTTATGGTTAGGATTTGCTTATTTACAAGTTTCCTTATTATAGTTTAGGTAGGAGTCCTTTTCCTTGTGAAAAAGGAGTCTTTTTAGACCTTATAAATAGGTTGCCAATTTGGCTTATTTTCTAAGACGAATTTTATTAAATATTTGAGTATTTTGAGAGATCAATTCTCCTTCGCTGTTCTACAGCATTCTTCGGAATTTTACAAGTGGATTCTTGTAACTTTCGTAGCGCCATAGTATTGGTTTCTGGTTCTCTATAACCACGGGGTCAATATTATATTTCACCTTGATAATAATGGTTTCTAGCTCTTGATAGCTATGGGGTCATTGTTCCTTGCTTCCGCCAAACTTGAATCTTTGTTTTTGGGTGTCTTCGATCTTGCTTCCGCGTAGGGTATTGGGTCTCGTAACAAGTTCTACGGGGTTCGTATCAATATATCACCTTAGGTAGCCATTTACGAGACTTGTTAGTTAATGCTTTATTCATAATTGGTTTGCATAGACATATAATGAACCGTTTATGAATAATAGACTCGTAATACACGCGACAGCGGGTTATGAGTAAATTAGTGTCTCGGGTTAATAATCAGGAATCATATATTTCATAATTAAGGGGTTTTGGGTGAGCAATTCTTGCATAGGGGGAAGATAAAATCCTAGGTCCGTTTTTATTTATATTTTCTCGTGTTTATTTGCTTTCTTAGTTAGTTTAATTATTTTGTTGATTAGATTTGACAACTTTGCGTAGGCTGGATAAAAATCACAATTGTTAGAATTTGGTACTTAGGATTAGATAATTTGAGTATTCCCTGTGGGATCGACATCCGACTCTCACGAGTCCACTTTTACTACTTGTTTTCGATACGTGTACTTGCGTGTTAGGTATTTAGCCCAACACTTGCCTCTCCACTCACCCGATTAACTCGAAAATACGTCAAGTACCAAGGGACGCCCGAATGCAACGCCGGTTTCACCTAATTAAAGACTCGACTCACCTCGGCACCAATTCTCGCACTACCAGAGAAAGTCGGAGAATTCATAGTTTACAACGACGCCTCGAAATTAGGATTGATGTCATTAAAAATGATAACAATAATGTTATAATATATTCTAAAATCTTATCAAATATTAAAAAAACTATACATTTCTTAACACAGTTTTGAAATAGTGGAATAGTTAAATTTATTTAGATGTCTTCTAATAAAATAATACTTTAAATTAAAAATATATATATTAATTTTTGTTGAGTGTAACAAATATAAAATAAATAATTAGATTTTGCAATGTAATTTCCAAAAATATTCTACAACATTAATAAAAATCTCTAATAAATATATTCTATAATAAATATATTCTACTATGTGTTTAGAAGGCTACAATTAATATTTCCACATTATGTACAAGAGTGGGAAGCTAGAAAATACAAGAACACCACTTCATTTCTTGCACCACTTCATTTCTCAATGTATTGTATGCTTGCCAATGTTAGCTCATGTTTAGTAGGTGTTTGACGTTTTTTTTTTGGTTTTATTATTTATTCAATTAAAAAATGACAAAAAAAAAATTGACTTTAAATAGTTATAAATATTTTTTTAAATATATTTTTTTTTCAATTTTTTTCGGCCTTTTTTTTTCAAAATCAACTTCAAAATTTTGGAAATCAACAATTTGTTTTTTCAATTTTTTATTCCATTTTTATTTTCCATAATCAACTATAAAGTTACCGTAAACAACTACCAAATTGTCGACATCAGATTCATCAAATCAACTACAAATTATCTAAATCAACTAAAAAAATAATGAAATCTACTACAAAACTATTGAAATCAACTATTACAACAATCAAAATCAACAAAAACTTATAGAAATCAACTCAAAATTAGTGAAATGAATACAAATTATTGAAATCAACTAAAACAAAACCAAAAACACACACCAAAATTCAAACAAAAATGACTATTAATGAAACTACAACCATAACTACAATCATACGAAATAGTGGAATAGTTTAGATTATTTAGAATTTTAGATGTCTTCAAATAAAATAGGGGTTATATGACAAACACCCTCATTGAATTTTGATTTAATGTTAAATTCATTTTTATTACTTGATATTTGTTATAAACCCAATTGACATGAATTATCCAAAATACCCCCATTTAATATTACTTAAAGTTACTATAATATATTATTATGAAAAATCAATTTTATTAAATATGCAAATCCACTTAATATCTCATTAGGGGGTTCGAACTCGGAAAGTTGAGGAAGAATAAGCAATTATTACCACTAGGCCAACCAACATTTTGGTTTAAATGTAGACGATAAATATATATAATATAAAATGCTAGTGTAAAATGATAAATATGTTAACTAAATTATTCATTTTCATATTAATTGTTATTAAATAATTTTAATTAAATTATTAACAAATGTAATAGAATAAACTTTTAAAAAAATATATAGAATCACGATTCAATACTTCAAAACATCTATTATTAATCGTTATATCAATATAATCTCCACTGTTGAAAAATATAATGTATTGAATCAATTCAACATGTAAACAAACGCGTTTACATTTTATTCAAATATTACAATCGAATCGTAAGATTTAAATGGATTAAGCTCAAGTCCATTCAATTTTTTTTTATTATATTCTATTTGTTTGTAATTTAATTAAATATAATGAATATGATAATTACTAATCTATTTAACATTATTTATTATAATCATTTTACACCTTTTGTTTATGTTATATATATTCCTAACTATAAATATATAAATATAAATAACACTATCAAATGATTATAATAATTGCATAACTAATGTTTTATAAAGTATTAATTGTCATGTTGACTATTATTAATATCAAAAATCCCGAATAATAACAAATACATATATATTAATTTTGAAAAATATAAAAGAAAGATTGAATTTTGATTTTTTTTGAATTTTGAAATTTTAAAAAATTTCTCAATTATTATTTTCACTTATAAATACCCATAATCCAATCTTCACAACTTTCATTTTATTTAGATTATTATTATTTTTTTTTTTTTGAGAAAAACAGACTTATTATTGAATTAATGAGAAAAATCAGAAATTACAATACTAGATATGAAATCTAGGAGAACATCAGCCGTAAAAGTTGACCTTAAGGACAATTTTGCGATTTCGTGGGCAGCACGGTTACCTTCCCTTTTGACATGGCAAACTTTGAAGTCTTCAAATACACATGAGAGTCTTTTGATCATATCGTCGATGAGGTGACCAAAGCTGAAAAAAGACCCTCATTCACCTTGGATAGCTGCGACAATGGTGCTGGAATCGCTTTCTAAAACAACTCGATGCATATCATGATCGCGAGCGAACTCCATGGCTCTGAGTGCTGCCATCGCCTATGTTGTAGTTGCGTCTAGACGTTGATTGCAGCAAGAAGAGAACCAAGCAATACATTTACCATCGAAAGATCTTGCTAATCCACCTAAACCGCAACTATTTTCATCTGAGCCAAGGGAAGCATCGAAATTTATTTTTAACACATCCCTAGGTGGCGCCTCCCAATGAATTAACATTCTTCCAGCGGCTCGAGACGAATGTGGACTATGAACAACTGAAAACGCTCCTCGCAATTCCATGATGAACTTCTTGGCGAAAACAATGACATCCATAGTTGAACAATGTACTTTCTCGAAATAGCATTTATTTTCTCTTATTCCAAATAGCCCAACACAATACAATACAGCACAATATTCAACTTGCGCACTATCCTGCTGCCTTTTTGATGTGCATGAACCAATCGAGAAAATTTCGCTCTCTCGGTCAATGTGTCGACCATGGCACTCCACTTAGCGCCCACACTTGTCTAGCGAAAGAGATTGATAGGCAATGGAGAACATCTTCGTCATCACTGCATACTTCACATGTGCCTACCTCAAGCACCCTTCGTTGTACCAAATTCAGCCGCGTAGAAAGAAGATTTTTACAACAACGCCAAAGAAAGATTTTTATTTTACTCGGAAGCTTCAAACCCCATAACCATTTCCATGACCCCGTGGGAGCCAGAGAGGAGCTGCTAGCGGTGTTTAGGCCCATTCTTTCCTTCTCTAACTGGACAGCTAAGTGATAAGCGCTACGAACAGTGAATGCACCACTCTGATTATAATAATCTTATCTTCGTTAACAGAATTCCCAAGAGGAATAGACATTATACACCTTGTATCATCTTCGTAGAAAATCGAGGATAAGCATGTATATTCCAACGACCAGACTCATTGTCAATGAGACTTTGGACCCTCATCTCCGTTGGCCAACTACCCGTAGGAGTAAAAGGTTTAAAAGTAGTTACTCTCGGAAGCCATTTATCGCCCCATATTGACACCTTTGCTCCACTTCAAATTCTCCATCGAGTACCCTTATCTAACAGAGATATAGCACCCCATATACTTCTCCACGTGTATGATGGATTTGATCCTAACGATGCACCAAAAATATCAGATTGTGGGTAGTACCGCGCCTTGTATATCCTTGCTAATAAGCTATCCGGCGAAACCAAAAGACGCCAAACTTGTTTAGCAAGAAGAGCTGTGTTGAAAGCGTCTAAGTTGCGAAAACCGAGACCTCCAAAATCTTTGCTCAAGCACATATCGTGCCATTTAATCCAATGAATCCCCTTCCCTCGATTATCATTCCACCAAAACTTAGCCATAGACCCCTCAACTTCATCCGTAAAATACCTTGGAAGTTTGAAGCGACTCATTGCGTACGTATGGATGGCTTGAATCACAGCCTTGATAAGGATTTCTTTTCCTCCCTTCGATAGCCATTTCTCCTTCCATCCTTGAAGACGTTTGCAAACCCTGTCTCTGTCTCTGATATGACCGAATACTTCTCGTTTTGATTTTCCTATCACTGAGGGGAGTCCCAAGTATTTATCGTGTTTGTCAACTACTTCCATTGAAAGTGCAGTTCTGATCATCTCCTTATTCGCCGAGGTAGTCGTTTTGCTAAAAACGATGCTAGATTTCTGATAATTCACTTTTTGACCCGAAGCCTTTTCATAAATTCTCAAAATATTTTTCACACAAGTGGCCGAAGAGATATTGGCGTTGCAGAAAATTATTGTATCATCTGCGAAAAGTAAGTGAGATACTCTTGGCGCATTTTTGCATACAGTCAAACCAACTATATTACCTCGTTGCTCTTCTCGTTTGATCAGAGCACTGAGCGCTTCCGCACAAAAGAGAAAAAGATAAGGGGAAATTGGATCGCCTTGTCGAATACCCCTCTCCGGCGTGAGAAAGCCAAATGATAGCCCATTGAGAACAAAAGATAAGTGACAGTAGTAACACATAACATGATCAAATTAATAAATCTAATATGGAATCCCAGTTTAGCCATCACCCCGCGAAGAAAACCCCATTCAATACGATCATAAGCTTTGCTTAAATCCAATTTTATTGCCATATGCTCCGCCGTACTCCTCTTAATATAATGAGAAACTTCATATGCGATCAGAATATTATCCGAAATTAATCGAGAAGGAACAAAAGCCGATTGAGATTCAGATATGATAGAATTCATATGTGGTTTAAGACGATTCGCTATAACTTTGGAAGCAATTTTATAAACCACGTTGCTCAAACTAATCGGCCGAAATTGTGTCATATTCCTAGGGTCCTGACATTTGGGAATCAACATTATATGGGTGTAATTTCCCTTTGAAGGCATCTCCTGGTGGTTTAGTAAATTTAGAACCCATTTGGTCACATCGCCGCCCACCAAATTCCAGAAACGCTGGAAAAAAACCGCTGGAAAACCATCAGGCCCCGGTGATTTCAATGGATGCATCTCATCTAGGGCCCTTTTCACCTCTTCTTGCGTATACTCCTCGAGGAGTGTTTTATTCATTGAATCGCCGACAAGCGGTTCAATAGCTCCCAACACCTCCTCCATTGCAGCCATGGATGGATGTTCAGATGTGAATATATTCCGGAAGTACTCGGAGACAATATTTTCCAGCTCAAACTCTTTCTCACACCATACACCTGCTGAATCACATAAACCTGAAATGGTATTCCTCCTTCGTCTAGATGAGGCCTTTGCGTGGAAAAAATTTGTATTTTTGTCGCCCTCTCTCACCCAGTGCGCCTTTGCTGGTTGCCTCCATAACATCTCTTCTTTATCCAATAACTCATCCAACTCGCTTGACATTTTTTTAATATCAGCAACAACCTCTTCGGTTAACACTTGTTTCTTCAAAATCAAAATATTTTCTTTAAGCGTCCGAATTTTGTCGCGCACAGCCCCAAAATTGTCACGATTCCATTGCAGTAAACCCACTTTACAATTCTCCATATTACTCCATTGTTCACCAAGGTTATGCTGGGAGTTATTAGGAAACCAATTTTCTTTAACAACCTGCTCGCAACCCTCAGATTTCAACCACATTGCTTCAAACTTAAAGCCCCGACTCCGAGCTCTCTGGTTGGAAATAACTTTGCTTCTCCATTCAATGAGTAAAGGAATATGGTCAGAGTACACACGTTCATAATTACCGCATGCTTTGTCCAAACGTTCTCTCGTAGTATCTGTTCCTGTTATTACCCCAAGTATATGGATACCCGACAAATCCCAAATCATTCAATCTCGAGTCACGCAGACAATCGCTAAAATCTTGTATCTCTCTGTACGAAGCCAACCGTCTCCCGCTTTTTCAGAAATTGATAGCATTGCATTAAAATCGCCAGCACATATCCATGCTTCGTTTGATAATGTTGCTAGCTGCCTTAGTAGCGACCAAGATTGGTATCTCAACTGTTTATTCGGGTTTCCATAAAACCCAGTAAAACGCCAAGTGTTGTTCAATTCTTCATAAAAAATAGTCGCATCAATGTGATTAGGAGGTAAGTTTTGCAAACTCATTTGCACGTCCCTTTGCCAGAGAAGAGCCAAACCACCCGCCGATCCTCTAGCGGCCACACACACACCGTTCAAATTCAAATACATCTTTATTGATTCAAACTTTCTATTTGAAATTATAGTTTCACAAAGAAAAATAAAGAGAGGATTATTAGCTTGTATAAGCTCCCGCAACTCATGAACCGTTCGAGAGCCCCCAAACCCTCGGCAGTTCCAGACAAGGCAACTCATGGCGATCAGCTGAGCACTAGTTGCACCAGAGTAAACCCTAGCAACACAAACCCTAGCAATATACCTTGGCGATCTATAATACCAACAATGTCTTAATCGTTTCATTTTTTCCTAAAATTATTTAGTGTTTAAATTCAATTATTTTTATTAATTTTGAATTTAAAGTAAATCTCATGTTTTTTCAAGTTTCAATATAAGTTTTTTTTTCTTTCTTAACAAAAAAAAAAAAATTGAAATATCGGTTTGGACCCGGACTCGGCCCGGACCCGGATGGACCCGGGTGGACCCGCCCCGAACCCAAACCCGCATCCGTGCGAGTCGGTTTCGGGTCCCCTAAAAGTTGGACCCGGACCCGGACCCGACCCGCCCCGGGGCCATGTCTAATCCATAATATGATTCTTATCAATTCCATCCATTATGCTGCTCTAACTTCCTTAATATTATACATTGACCCCGGATTTGAACAAATATATCACATTAACCCCCATTTTAATAATTGTTTGAAAAAATATTTTTCTTTCATAAAGAATTCTTTTTCTGAATTTATTTTCCGGCGTTGATTTTTCTTTTTCCTAATTTTTTTTTTCCGAATTTTTTTTCCGGTAGGTCAACAGCCGGTCTCCGACGTTGACTTCTTTTCGTTTTTTTTTGGAAACTTTGTTTTTTATTTAAAAAACTTATTTTAATTAATATTACTTTCTTGGCTGCTAAATTACTATCTCATACAGTAATATTACTGTTTGGGACAGTAATATTATGAATATTATTTTCCCGAACAGTAGTATGATTAATATTGTTGTCCCAGATAGTAATATTATTGCATGAGACAGTAATATTACAGTCGAACACAACAAAAATGCAAGCCAAGACGATAAAATTAATTAATACAGTAATATTACTGTCTCTGACAGTTAAATTGCTGTTGGAGACAGTAATTTAGCAGCCAAGACAGTAATATTAATTAAAATAATTTTGTTTAAGAAAAACCAAATTTTCAAAAATATAAAAGTCAAATTAACGGTTAAATTACTGTCTCCGACAGTTAAATAACTGCTGGAGACGGTACAGTAATTTAGCAGCCAAGATAGTAATATTGATTAAAATATTTTTTAAGAAAAAAAAATTAATTAACAGTTAAATTATTGTCTCCGACAGTTAAATAACTGCTGGAGACAGTAATTTAGCAACGAAGACAGTAATATTGATTAAAATATTAAAAAAAAATAATAATAAATCAATTAACAATTAAATTACTGTCTCAGACAGTTAAATAACAACTAGAGATAGTAATTTAGTAGTCAAAACATGAATATTAATTAAAAAAAATTAAGAAAAAAAAGGTCAATTAGCAGTTAAATTAGTGTCTCCGACAATTAAATAACTGCTGGAGACAGTAATATTAATTAAAATATTTTTTTTAAGGAAAAAAAAAATTAAGGACGGAGACCCGGCGGTCAACGGTGGTTGACCTACCGGAAAAAAAAAGTTTAAAAAAAAAAAAAATAACTGCGGCTGACCGGCGGTCTTCGGTGGTGGCGGGTCAAAATTGGTTAATTAGTGAAATTTGACTAAATATGGGTGTAAATCATGAAATTGGAGTTCAATTGAGTTTCAATGAATTGGGGGTAATTTTGGTATATATATAGAAAAAAAACTTTCCTTAATTGCAAATAAGTTTGAATAAGCTGGAAATATTTGAAAGAAAAAAAAAGTTGGATGTCCCTTTTTGAATTAATTGCCTTGTCATGGGCCTATTTGCATTTTGCCCATTCTTTTAATGGTTTTCTTTTATTTATTTATTTATTTATTTTTTCTGTTTTTTATTTTAAATTATTTTTTTCTTATTTATATTTTTCATGTTTTTCATTTTGACTTTTTAAAAATGGTTTTATATTTTCTTTTTATTTTTCTTTTTCTTAATTCCGTTTCCTTAATGGTTTTTCTTTCCCAGTTTTTTTTAAATAAAGAACTTTTTAGTTTAATTATTTTTTATTAATTTTTTTTTCGAAATTTTTTTTTAATATTAAAAAAAATCCACCAGGTTTATCAAAGTGGATTCACTATAAACTTATCGAAATCCACTATGAATATGTTAAAAGCCACTATAAATTTATCGAAAGTCACTACAAACTAGTCGAAATTCACTATAAATTTGTTTAAAACCACTACAAATTTATCGAAACGCACTACGAACTAGTCGAAATCCACTATAAATTTGTTGAAAACCACTATAATTTTATCGAAATCCTCTACGAACTAATTGAAATCCACTATAAAACTAATAAAGGATCACACAAGCATCAAAGCTCGTCATTTCGTTTGAAAACAACCAACCAAAAGTCTTAAGATTGATTAGTAGAATGAACCGAAACACGTCCTCGTCTCATGTGCAAGTAGCTCTTCATTTGACATATCAGAATATTCAAATTCATTATTCTTCAGTCTTCACAGGATCACTAGATTTTGCTTTCATCTCCATACACTCACCAAGTTCTAGCATCTTCAAAAATGAAAGTCAAATTAAAAAAAATAACAATAAAAAATAAAAAAAAATAAATAAAACAAACTAAAAAAAAACTGAAAAAAAAAAACAAACAGATTATCAAATTATGGGGGCGTCCAAAATTTATTGGACTAACCAAACAACAAACAAAACGAGGTCTCTTAGTTAATCAATTTATGCAAGATATTTCACCAATGAATCGATTTATTCAACATATGTTACTATTGTTCAATAGGAACAGTAACATTTGGGACATCAAAACTGAAAACTAGACAATAAACAATTTAAATAGAGTAAATTACACAAAAACAAAAGAAAGAAAAAAATAATTGCTAATAAACATGGTAGAAGACGAACAAGCGATTAAAAATTAAAATTGAAGACCAACCAAATGGCGTGAAATTGAATCGTTGGTTATTCAATTTCTGCGAAGACCCGCCACCGGTGGCAGAAACGTGGTCGCGCCGCCCTACAGTTTCTTGGTCAAAATTGATTAAATTGGGGTTACAATTAAAAATTGGTGTAAAGGGTAGTTGGAGGTAAATTTTGTCATATACATTACTTTTTCTTTTACACATAAATTAATTTATTTTTCTTTTTTATTATTATTTTTTTAATAATTTTGTGTTTTCTTAAAAAAATATTTTAATTAATATTACTGTCTTGGCTGCTAAATTACTGTCTCCGGCAGTTATTTAACTGTCGGAGACAGTAATTTAACTGTTAATTGACTCTTTTGTTTTTTTTTTCTTCAAAAATATTTTAATTAATATTACTGTATTCGTTGCTAAATTACTGTCTCCAGCAGTTATTTAACTTTCGGAGACAGTAATTTAACTGTTAATTGACTTTTTTATTCTTAAAAAAAATATTTTTAATTAATATTACTGTATTCGTTGCTAAATTACTGTCTCCGGTAGTTATTTAACTATCGGAGACAGTAATTAACTGTTAATCACTTAATTGACTTTTTTTTCCTTAAAAAAAATTATTTTAATTAATATTACTGTCTTCGATGTTAAATTACTGTCTCCAACAGTAATTTAACTGTCTTAGACAATAATATTAATAATATTACTGTTCGGAAAATAATATTCATAATATTATTGTCCCAAACAGTAATATTACTGTCTGAGACAGTAATTTAGTAGCCAAGACAGTAATATTAATTAAAATAATTTTTTTTCTAAGAAAAACAATCCAAAAAAAAAAAAAAGTCAACGCCGGAGACCGGTAGTCAACAGTGGTTGACCGACCGGAAAAAAAATTCAGGAAAAAAAAAGTTTCAAAAAAAAAAAAAAAAGAAGTCAACGCCAGAATCTGGCCGGAAAAAAAAACATTTCAGAAAAAAAATTATTTTCTGAAAATAAAAAGTTTTGGGGGTTAATGTGATATATTTGTTTAAATTTGGGGTCAATGTGTAATATTAAGGAAGTTAGAGTATAATGGGTGGAATTGATAAGAATTATATTATTGAGGGTATTTTTTACTAAAGACATGGGGATGAGCTTAATTGAGAGACTGTTTTTTTTGTGGACCAAAATGCATTTAAGTCCCATGTGATGGGCCTTTTTGCCATTTGCCCTTCTTTTATATATAAGATATTGAAAGGGATGGACTTATTGACGAAAGAGATGTTGTCCTTGAACCTAGAATAATAAAGATGGTTGGTCACCGATGATATGCATAATTGGACCGATCCAATGGGCCCACGATTTATTTATCACTGCATCACGAGCCCAATTAAAAAGACCACTACAACGAAAGCCCAAACACCTTCAAAGGGGGTTTGAGCCCAACAAAGTAAATCCAACCCAATCAAAGACATATAAATAAATATTTTTACTCATTTGTTAAGGTACGTTCCATTATACACAACAATTCTTGTGCTTATATTCTCTCTACGATGTAACATCCCATCTCCAAAACCCCATAACCCAAAATCAATCTGCTTAACTCGAGAATCCCTAGGGGATATTATTACGTGAAATTAATTATTTGAATTACGTGAGCAGATATATATGTGCTTTTATCTCACTATGTGAATTAACTTACATAAATTAGTATTTTAGGATCATTTATATTTCCATAAGTTGAATTACTAATTATTAATAATAATATACATTGCACCAAAAGGCGAAATTCCTCGCCCCCAGGGCCCCCATCCCTTGGCCCGACAATGATTGATGGAGGAATGTAAATCATGGTAACTCAACGGCCCGTTAAGGCAGCGGACCCGGACCTGGTGCCCACAAGGAACCAACCCTCATTGGAGTTGAAATTCCCACACTGCGGCTGCCAGGATTCGATCCTAGGACCTTGCACCAACTTACCACCTCCGGAACCAGTTGAG